TGCTATTCTGAATCAAGTTCAGCACTAAAATGAAATACTGATTCATTTCTCCCAACAATATATCTTTATATGCTCCTTGCATCTCTGAAAGCCTTAAAACTCCTGAGATGGTTTTCTCCCCAGGGATTGCCTGAGGAATTTGAGGAATCTTTTTCTCTCTTATGGAAGATTTTATTCATGCTTAGAATAGAGAAAAAGTTAGGAAGATTGCCAGAAGGAGTAGAAAACATGTAAGCTGTTTTCTCTTGACTGAAGTACCACAGTTAGAGTAATAAAATGACCCAGGGCATCTCTCCCTTCCGAAGGATTCGCTGTTTATGCCACCTGGTCTTTTTTCCTTCTTGTGTGTGAAGTTCCTCTTCATCTACATGAACAATCCCAAGAGTATATCCAGACCAGAAATCCACTGAGAAGCCTAGGATAAGAACAGCCACCAGAATGAAGATTTAAAAACAAAGCAGAAGCCAGACGAAGTGGTGTATCCCTGCAATCCAAACAACTCAGGAGGCTGAGGCGGGAGGATTACAAGTTGGAGTCAGTCAGCAAATTAGTGAGGCCTGAAGCAAATGAGCAAGACCCTGTCTCAAAATAAAAAATGAAAAGGGCTAGGGATGTAGCTCAGTGGTAAAGGATCCCTAGTACCAAAAAAAAAAAAAAAAAAAAAGAAAAAAAAGAAAAAAAGAAAGAAAGAAAGAAAGAAAAAAGAGCTAGTTTCCTATCTAGACTTTAGTGTTCAGAATATTTTAAATGTTTGCTTAATCCTAGTATGAAGTGGGCAAAATGGATGATAGCCTCACAGCTTATATTCTTAAATTTAAAAAGTAAATAAAAAATAAAGCAGCTAAGGAATTTATATATACATATATATTCTTATGTCCACATCTATTCTCATATCCATATAATGCATATATGTACATATATACACACATATAAACATACACACATTCTTATATCCATATATACACATATGTATCTATATATAAATGTGTATACACACACACACACACACATATATATATATATATATATATATATTTAGACTCCAGATTTGTTAAAATTTCCGCCTGCCTTGAAATGATTATGAAACATTTCAACCAATAAACCAAATATTATTATTTTATCTCTATAACACAAATATCTTGTGTTTCTTTTGTAGTACTTGTATAATGGCCTGAATGTTCTAGATTTAATATATTTTACATAATTTTGTGCTCCGTCTTAGCAGCGTAGAAGATAAAGACATTAAAAAATTGTGTAACAAGCTGGGTGCGGTGGCTCACACCTATAATCCCAGCCACTCTGGAGGCTGAGGCAGGAGGATGGTGAGTTCAAAGCCAGCCTCAGCAACAGTAAGGCACTAAGCAATTTAGTGAGACTCTGTCTCTAAATAAAATTCAAAATAGGACTGGGGATGTGGCTCAGTGGTCGAATGCCCCTGGTTTCAATCCTTGGTACAAAAAAAAAAAAGAAGGAAGAGGAGGAGGAGGAGGAGGAAGAAGAAGAAATTGTGTAACAAAAGGACTTCCTTCTTGTTTTTCCAAATCTACCAATTGAAAAGATACTAGGAGGGGCTGGGGGTATAGGTAAGGGCCAAAGTAGCATGCCCAATGCAGGAAGCCATCTGTGAAATACATGAGGACCTTCTCTAGGCATGGGAGCTAGGGAAGGATAGGCCTGGCATAGGGAACTTTCTGTGGCTCTCCTGTGGCAACAGATTGCCCAATGCATGTGACCTTCCCCTCCACTCTGCTAGAAAGGTCTCTCATAGTAGTACTGGAGATGGGCATATCCTGTTAGGAACTGAACAGTCCACCTTTATATTATTTTGGTGAAGAACAGTCTAATACAGAAGGCCTTTGATGTTTTCCGATAGACTGGGCTCCATCTTGTTCCAGAAGCTCCATCCATTGATCAGCTTGCTGGTCTTGCCCCCGTTTTTAAAACTGCTTTCTATGTTCTGTGTTTCTTTCCTGTGTTTTATTTCTCTTAGCTTTTATTTCTCAGCCAGCCCATTCCACCAAGGGGAACCCCATTTCCCCCCATCCGAGGGGGATGTGGGCAGGACCCAGGGCCCTAGGTTCAAATCCCAGCAATATACACACACACCTTGAAAAGACAACAAACTTTTTCCAGGCAATGAAAGTCTATTTTAGGGAGAAGAAAAAAGGTCAACTTCCAGTTTAACCCTAGGAATGACATACTTTTTAAACCTTGTTTAATATGTCTTCTCTTCTAGTGGTTTGTAAGCCATAGAATTTCTTGAAGGTAGTTGGGAACTGGAAGGAGTGTTGGGTCTAGTCTTCAAAAGCCAATACATTTTAATTTTTATTTTATAAACAAGTAATAAACCTATTACATATATATTTTATGTCCACACAATGTATACATTTCACTTCAAAATGAAATGGTGTTAGGCTCTTCAAGTGTGTTTGGAGAAAGCTTGGGCTATGGAAACCATTTGGGGGTACTTGCTACCTGCTCCTCAGTTGACTTGCCCCTTATGTTACCATTGCGAGCAACCAGGATGGGTTTACCATTTGGTAGGGTGCCATTACTTTCATTCTCCTCCATATATTGTTTCATTTATACATTTTGTATCTGTTGTTTTAAAGACAACAAACAAAAAGAATAGGAATATTTAGAAACAAATTAATGAGTTTTAAAATAACAATAATTCCAGAACTCCACTTCAAGATACTCTTTACTAGATCCATAAGTTACATTTATCTGATCAAAATTTTAAAAAAATGGGTGCTGGGTTGTGGCTCAGTGGTAGAGCAATGGGTTGAATCCTCAGTATCACAAAAAAAAAATAAATACATAAACAAACATAGAGGTATTTTGTCCATCTACAACTAAAAAAATTTTTTTAAATGTAGCTCTTATATACTAATTGACTTTTTAAAAAATGTGTAACAAAGACCTATTGTTCAAGAGGGTAAAGAAAAACCTGCTTGTAAAGCTTAGTCTGATATCTTTCTTTTTTCATGAAATTATGAGAATAAGCCAGTTGATTAAGTTCAAAGGGTACGTCATGAAACCAGCTTTTGCCTATTGTGACATAAAATAAATTTCAGTTTTCTTTGAAAATACATATAGTCTCTCCTCAAACCAAATACAAGATAAGACTTTTTATTAAACTTGATTGTTGAGAAACCTGCCACTTTCTGCACAATCAGTAAAAGTAAATTAAATAGTGTATATTTACAGTTGGATGGAAAAAGTAACAATCTATCATATGAAGTAAATGAATATGCAGTAGAGACAACATTTTATGTGAACTTGATAATAAGTCTTTCATAATACAACAATCCATAATAAATGTTTTACTTAAATTTCCTTGTTCATGGTGCCCCCCAAAAATTACAAATTTATGTGTTATGGTGAATGGGATTTGGAGTAGAAAAAAATTGAGAAGTATTGGGCCAGGAAGATAATTGCTATAATCAGTCACCTGAATCATTTTAACACACAAAAGACATAAAAATGTGCACATGGGGTTGGGGATGTGGCTCCATGGTAGAGCACTTGCCTAGCATCTGAGAGGCCCTGGTCTGGGTCCTAAGCACCTGCAACAAACAAACAAACAAAAATGTACATTCATTATTAGCAAAATAAGTCTCACTCCTTCTTGTCCCTCAGGAATTATCTTTCAGTTTCATAATGGAGGAAGGAAAATTTATATTTTGCCCTATTTAATCTTTTTGAAGATGCACATTTTCTGTTAAATTGGGATGCATCTCACCAATAGTAGCATCTTCAATAGAAGTCAGCCAGCTGCAGTTGTGACTGTAGTTACAATTGCAGAATGAACATCAAATGAGCCAGCATCAAAACTTGCAGAATGGGTATCACTGACTTGGGAGGAAAACTTACAAATAAAGAGCCTTAAAAAAAAAAAAAACTGTATGAGCCAAATGATGTGGAGAAGGAGTGAGTTGAACATGTTTAGCAACATTCTTTAAGCAGGAGTCAAAAGTAAGCTAACTATGTAATTGCAAAACCACTTTAGAAGCCCAGAACCAATGACTTAGTTCTTTTATAACTTATTTTAAGAAATGCTGCATCATCAACCTCTTAATACAGGGGATGATACCGTGAGTAAATACAGACAGATATTGAGGAGTCTGAGTCAAATGCTAAATGTGAATAAGTTTTAGGAACCAATTTATTTTGTTAATGTTCCTTTTCTTCTTGCATGTGTATGATAAAATAATCTAATTAAATTTATAACATTCCTTTCAATAAGTACAAAATAAATGTTCTGACCACATCATAGTTTAACTTGCAAGGTGTGTGTGTGTGTGTGTGTGTGTGTGTGTGTGTGTGTTTTAAGGGGTTGAAATCTTTTAAATTATTAAAAAACTTAATCGACATGGAATAGTTGTACATACTTATGGAATAACTTGCAGGAGTTTTTAAATTATCTTAATGAAATACACCATAGTGAGGTCTTTTTTGGGGAGTGGATAGGTACTGGGGATTGAACCCAAGAGCACTTAACCAGAGCCAAATCTCAACCATTTTTTATTTTTTATTTTGAGACAGGGTTGCACTGAGTTGTTTAGGGCCTCACTAATTTCCTGAGGCTGACTTTGAACTTGCAATCCTCCTGCCTCAGCCTCTTGAGCCACTGGGATTACAGATGTGCACTGCTGCTCCTAGTGATGACTTTTTACAATGATAGCATCTTAGATTCAGTGGAAAGGGCTATGCAATTTGTGAATTCAGTACTTTCCCCTCTTCTCCTAAAATGGATCACTAATAAGCTTGAATGACCTAAGATGTTTGATGATTACATAGTGTTCCTTACTGCTGCTGGCTTAGTTGCATCTTAACAAAAAGCTGCATGTTGTTCTCACTTTCATTTGATGTGGTGACTTTTAATAGCATATGGCCCCTATTTAGTAGTCTCCAAAGTATTCCTCAGAAGTTGACACTCTAATAATTCAGTTTTGCATGTGTGGTTTCCCTGAAAATGTGTTGTTTTCCTTTGCTAGGGGTGCAGGCTGCATCTTTATTGAAATGTTCCAGGGTCAACCTTTGTTTCCTGGGGTTTCCAACATCCTTGAACAGCTGGAGAAGATCTGGGAGGTAAGAAAATAATTCCTCTTAAGGAAGAAGAAATATCCATACTTCAAATCTTGAACTAAATTTGCCTTAGAGACAAATGGAGCAGTCCGTCTGAGTCATGTATTAAAGATTATAGAAACTGTGGTATTTGCTACAGGGATAAGCACCTTAGAGATGAGTGTTTAGGAAAACCTCTGCTGCTCCATAGCAGCCCATGAAGCCACCCCACCAATGACATAGGTCTCCTGATTCCTATTCTTATTAAGGTCTCAGCCTCCTGGGGCAATTTCTGCTATTACTACTTAAGCACTTCTCTGCCTTCTCACCTCCGACTATTTCCACCATGTATTTGGCCCTGGATTTTTCTCAGTTGAATGACATACTGTCATGGAACCCTCATCAAACAGAGAATTCCTTGACTTCCCTTGTCAGTCTGAGGTAGGTATTCTCTTTATCATGCTCCTCAACAACCAGGTCCCTAAGATGTCTAGGTGCCCGTGTAGTGTACTTCCATTCCTTTGTATTATTTATCTCTACCTTCTTTGGTACTAAGATGTGGTTGGTTTTTATGTCCCTTACATAGAAGTATTTCAGTCATACTATAGTCATCTGTATGTTTCTCTTTTGATGATTTCTTTTATTGTGACAAAATACATAAAATTTGACAGGTTGGTCAATGGGAACTAAGTTACCGTTAGGATAGGATAAATAAGTTCTGGTGTTCTGTTGCACAAAAAAAGCTAGAATAAAGAATTTTGAATGTTTCATCACAAAGAAATGTTTTTGGTTTGGGGATTTTTTGGGGGTGGTGGTGGTGGTGGTTCTTGTTTTTTTTTGTTTTTTTGTTTGTTTTTGGCCCTGGAGGTTTAACCTGTGGGCATTTTACCACTGAGCTATATTCCCAATCCTTTTAATTTTTAATTTTGAGATAGGATCCCCACTAAGTTGTAGAGGACCTCATTAAATTGCTAAGGCTGGCCTCAAACTTGAGAGTCTCCTGCCTCAGCCTCCCAAGTCACTAGGATTACAGGTGTGCATAACTGTACCTGATTTAGAAATGTTAAATGTTTAAAAACGTATATATGTTCATCCTGATATTAACATTACACAATATACAAATGTGTTGACACATCACACAGTACCCTATAAATTTGTACAAATTTTATGTGTCAATTAAAATGCAATGAAGTGAAAGCTTTTACCAATTCATCATTTTTAACTGTACAGTTCATGCAATAAGTTCATTCCCATTGAATGTCATTGGTGACATTATTTCCAGCGCCATTGCATCATCCTAATCAGGCTCTGCAACTATCAAACAATAACTCCCCATCTACCCAACCCCCCAGGTCCAGGTAACCTCTAATCTACTTTCTGTCTCCATGAATTTGCTTATTCTAGGTACCTCATGTCAGTAGAATCGAGTAACATTTGTCTTTCTGTATCTGGCTTATTTCATTTAGCATAGTATTTTCAAAGTTCATTCATGCCGTAGACAATGTCAGGTACTTTACACTGGGGCTTTTATCACTTGCAATTCTGGATCCTGCTCCTTGTCTTCTGGCCAAGATAAAATGTACTTTGGGAAATTAGCACATTATATAGCAATTAATCACTGACTTATATTTTCTTTTGGAACCAGAGCGACTTTTATGCCGCTTTTATGAAGAAACCTGGGACAAATTGGAAAGCATTCATAAACTAAAAGAACATTTTTCAGACCAAAAAGACTTAGAACTTTTTCCTAGCAAAACAGATAAAATGCTACTTTAAAATAACATTGTTAGATGGTTGTAACCATCTAAACTGGAGACAGGCTAATGAAATGGCTTTGGAATCAGAAAACCTGGATCTTCCTGAATTCTAGCCACTTTCTAGCTATGAATGTGGGAATGTTATGTAATATCTCTGATCTTCATGACTTTCTAATCTTGCTGTGAGAATTCCATAAGATCAAATGCATAACAAACTCAGTATGCCATAAATGCTTGACAAATATTTGCTTTCTTCCTTTCTCATATAAATTGTTACAGAGATGTTTCAGTAACCCAATTACTATCAAATGTTATCTGATATTTAACTTATTTGGTCGATTCTTCCACTTAGCATTATTACTTCTTATCCACAATAGAAAAAGCACAATTAGCACTGCCTAAACTTTACCCTGCAAGAACCCTTTACACATTCAAAGAATTTTTCCCAGCTGTTTGATACCTATTGAACATTCACCATATATAAATTCTTTTCAAGGACTTATAGGAAGCAAGTCATGGAAAAAAAGAGAATAAGAAATATTCGTGATTATGTTTTCAAGAGTTGTTCTAGGTGGGATGATGGGTAGAGTCCAAGTAAATACATATAGAACAAACAAATGTGTATATATGGAAAGGATATATGTATAGTTAAGATAAATTTTAATATTGAAATAAGATGTAATATTCAGAGATTTGAAAAGTAGCATATTTTAAAAGAATATATCCTTATATGCTATAAGTGTTTAAAGAGTGGTATATAAACTGACTTTTTAAATTACCATGCATTTAAAAAGCATTCATTTTATACTTCTTTGCATTTAGCATAGCACTTAGAAATCATGAACAGAAGGAGTAGACTAGGTGTTTCCCAGGATCTGATGACACTCTAGCTATTAGTTCAAGTGTTTAGGCCTGGCCTTGGTAAGTGACACTGGGTGCCTGAAGGATGTGTCAGGTAATTCAGTAAGTGTAAGGTGCTGGACTTGAATCTGGATGTAAAATACCAAAAAAGAGTGAGGCCACAGAATCCAACAGGACCTGTCCCAGAAGCCATGTTCATGTCTACTGTTACTTTTACCACATTGCAGTGAGTGAAAGGGTCTTATTTTGACATTTATGACAACCCACTACAAATTTAAAGCAAGTGGACATATTTGAAATAACACTGGCCTGAAGTCAGGGCTCAGGAGTTATGAACACAACTCCAACTTCAGGCACGAAGTAGAGCAAGTGTGTATCCAACACCCCTGGCTCCAGGCCTCAGAGTCTTCAATTGTATTTGATTCTCTGACTCTGACTTCAATAACCAAAGAGCAAAGAGAACACTGTAGCTCCTATGAATTTTAATCACAATATTCTCTGTTCATTAAATTTTTCCCTCAGTTTTTTTCTCAAGTTTATGTAATTGCATTGTTCACTGTTGACTTTCAACCTGTGCTTCTAGAAGATGGTTCTGTATTGTGTAGCTGTGGATTATGGGCACTAGGAGGTCAGAGTCATGAAAGCTCATTTTCTCATTGTCCTCTCCAAGCAGTTTTGTTATTACATCTGTAGTTCCATACTTTGAGGAAAAATGTGAATATCATGAGTTAGCAGATTTGCAGTCTTTTGTATCACTGTACCTCATCTGGTTAATCTCAAGCAGATTAGAATTATTGTTTCCCCAGTGCAGTGCCTAGCCTCTGGTAAGTGCAAAGTTAATAATCATACTATTATTGATAATATACTTGTATTCCACTTTGGTCTCAATATGTAAAATCTGATTGTAACTAGTATGTATTGCTTTAGAAGCAATAGGGCCATCAGGGAAGTGAGTGTCTGGAGGAAAAATGAGGAAAGAACATCTACAAAGGGAGCATATAACTGTGGATTCCAGTTTTTCATTTTCATTTTTTTTTATTTTTTAAATAATTTAAACCTTTTTCTTTTTTTTTTAAATATTTATTTTTTAGTTTTCGGCGGACACAACATCTTTGTTTGTATGTGGATGAACCTGTGCTGAGGATCGAACCTGGGCCGCACGCATGCCAGGCGAGCGCGCTACCACTTGAGCCACATCCCCAGCCCCAGTTTTTCATTTTTACAGTTGAGGAAATAATGTCCCAGAGTAGTTTCAACATAGACAAGTTTGCACAGATAAAGTCACAGCAAAAAGGCCATAGAGAGAAAAAGACCCTGTTGAATATTGTTTGAAGCCACTAACATTACATTTAATGACATCACAATACCTATAAGCTTATCCATAGGGCTCTACTATACCTCTAAGTATAGTGGATATGTGCTTTGGGTCTGGATCGATTTCTTTCTTTTTGATTGATAAATTAAAAGTGTGTTTATTTATCATATACAACATAGTATGTTTCTTGGGATTTTTTGGTTTTTTGTTTTGTCATGCTGGGGATCAAATCCAGGACCTTATGCATACTAGGCAATTGTTCTACCACTGAGCTACACCCTAGAACCAGTATGATGTTTTTTTTAAAAGACATTTTGGAACTAGGTACTGTGGTGCACACCTGTAACCCCAGTAACTTGGGAGGCTAAGGCAGGAGGATCACAAGTTCGGAGGCCAGTCTCAGCAATTTAGTGAGACACTGTCTCAAAATAAAACAAAGCCGGATGTCATGGCACAAGCCTATAATCCCAACAGTTTAGGAGGCTGGGGCAGGAAGATCGTGAGTTCAGAGCCAGCCTCAGCAAAAGCGAGGTACTAAGCAACTCATTGAGACCCTTTCTCTAAATAAAATACAGAATAGGGCTGGGGATGTAGCTCAGTGGTTAAGTGTCCCTGAATTCAATCCCCAGTACGAAATAAATAAATAAATAAAACAAAAAGGGTTGGAGGTATGGCCCAGTGGTAGAAGACTTCTGGGTTCAGTTCTTCATGCCACACACACACACACACACACAAATAATTAAAAATCAAATAAAATACATATTGGAGTGGCTAAATTGAGCCAATTAAAATATGCATCACCTCACATACTTTGTGTGTGTATGTGTGTGTATGTAAGTGTATTTAGAATACTTAAAATGTACTCCATGATATTCAAGAATACAATACATTAACTATAATCACCATGTTGTATTATGATATATAATACAATAATATAATATAATTTATAATTATATAAATATAATCAATATGTTGTATATTTCTTAACCTTTTCATATCTAATTGAAATTTTGTATCCTTCAACCAACATCTGCCCAACTCTCAGCTCTAGTCCCTGGTCACCATTAGTCTAGTCTACTTCCTTGAGTTGACCTTCTTTAGATTCCACATACGAAGTTATCACAAGGCATTTGTCTTTCTGTGCCTGGCTTATTTTACTTAACATGTCTTACAGCTTTATATACGTTGCTGCAGATGACAGGATTTCCTCCTTTTTTCCAAACATCCCCTACCAGATGCATGGTTTGTAAATATTTTCTACCATTCTATAGATTGTCTCTTGATAATTGTTCTGTTTTCTGTGCAGAAGCTCTTTAGTTTTATGTAATCTCATTTGTCTGTTTCCACTTTTGTTGCCTGAGAAATAGGCTAGAAAATGAAACAGATTACAAATAGTTCCTGAATTTGTGTTTTACTAAATGTGGTCTTCACAGATAAAAATAGGAAAGCTATTTGAGGTTCTATGATATTTGATGTAGGAATTGCTTCTTTGAAATCAATGGGCCCATTCTAAATTTCCCAACCTCTAACCACATTTTTCTCTACAGTTAGATCTCAGTCTTAGCAATAAAGACAAAATGAGAAGTTCTGAATATTTATTTTAACATCTTTTGGTCTGTGGGTGTGTGTGCATGTACACGTGATGTATTTACATCTAAAGTCATAGCTGCCAACAGTTTCTGAAGTACTTTTAAAATATATTTTTAAAGTGTTTTTGCAAGCAATCATGTATTCAGTCCTAAAATCAGAATAAACTATCAGAATAAACTATGCAAACTTTAAATCCATTCATCAAAATGCCTTTAGTTTTCATTCCAACGAAGGCAAATAAACAGCTCCTCCAACCACTGTGTTTAAAACCTAGAACTCTCTGCCTTATCAGAGCCCATGGGAAGAGAGAAAATCAGTAATTTTTTGAGTTTCAGTTTCCCAGAAAATGAAGATGAAATTTAGTAACTTTCTCAAGTGAAAAAGAATTCTCTAACTTTCAAATGGAAACTAAGCATCAAATTTCCAAATAAAGTATATTGAATATTTTGGTTTACACTTCTAAAATCTTAAGCTTAAAGCTTTTAGCTCAAAAGAGTTTCCAAAAACTTTGGTATCTGTTTCATTGGCACGAAATGCAACACTAAGTAACCGACAAGTCTAGTGATACCTAGAGAAGATATGAACGTGGTTGTTATTTTGTTTGTATTGTTTTCTCTCTTGATCTTTGCTTTCTTTTCCTCGTGTTTTGCCACCCATTAGAAGATGAATGGGTGCACATGAATCACATCCACTCATTTATACTTGCATCGAGGCAAATACATATGATGGTAGGTTAAGAAAGAAGAATTAGCTTCCCGTCCTCTGGCCTTTTCCTACAAAAGAAGAATTAATCCAGTTGGTTTTTCAAAATGGATTCTAGGATTCTGAGTGTTCCCTCAGGCTCAGGGTGGTTGATAGGAAAAGCCTATAATCCCCTCAGTCGCTTTTCTGTTTGTTTAGAGAATGGATCAAAGCAGGAAGATTTTGCTGGGTGGCATGATTTTTTTTTTTTTAATATATGAGGGAAAATAGCACTTCAGTATCTTTTGTTTGAGAACAAGCTTAGAAGGCTGGAAAAGTAGACCTCTCAGCCAGAGTCCTAGTCAGCAAACTGATAGGTTTGAGATTCTGGATTCCTTATTGATAATACTGCTGGTGTTGGGCAATTAACTTCTTTGTCATAAAAGTTGCGCCAGCATCTTTATTCACATGGATCCTCCAGACTGTCTCTGCAAGATGCTTCTCAAGAGTAATCCTGAGGTATGCATCTATGAAGAGTTGTGCTATAACAGTGTATTGGAAGCTACAAGTGCTTTACTAGTATTTCACAAAAACAGTGTGATTCAGACTCCCAGATATAACTGGCTATGGGCTTTCATGATCATCTTAAAAGAATGGGAAGAGGAATCCTATAGGGGAACTTCCCAGGACAGCACCATCCAAAATCTATTTTGGCTTTGTGTTCCAAACAACTTTTATTTTCATACAGCATCTTAATTTAGAATCAAGACCTTTGATTTGGTCATCTAAAGCATAGGCTAGCTCTTTTTCAAGTGATGCTACCATTATAGTTCACTAGTGAAAAAACCAAAAGCTATATTCTAGGCTGCTGGATACAAAGAAAACAACCCATGAGATGAATTTGGTAGAAAGGACTGGAGTTAGGTTAGGGGTCATTTTTAGCCAACATTCCACTGCCTAAAGGTCAGTAATCTGAATCCTTTTTAATCTGAGCACGTTGGGAACAGCTGAATGCCTATGCTGAGGCATGATTTAAGCTGTCAAATGTCCTCTGTCAGTATGCTTACGGTAACATGATGTAAGGCAAAGGGACAGTCACTCCGGCTTGTTTATACCCCGTCTGCTAAAATGACCTCCTTGTGCATGGTGTTCATGCAATAAATATTTGCAGATGAGGGTGACTTTAAGCAAGGCCATATGATCTGCCTCAGAATATCAAGTCAATTAGCAAAGACACACAGACCATAGGCATGTACTAGACTTTGCCCAATGTTGGAAATACTACAGTTTCTCATATATATTAGCTGGTGTAATGTGACATAATCCAATTTTCTCTACTCCTCCCTGATCTATCCTTCATATCTCTGTACCTGCTTCATCCTCCTGGTCTTCCCATCGACCTTTATTTGTCTTTTCCTGTCTTTATATAGGTGTTGGGAGTCCCTACAGAGGACACCTGGCCTGGAGTCACCAAGCTACCTAACTACAATCCAGGTAATATCAATCCAAACTTCTGAATGTTTGGAATTAGCAATGTCAGGAGAGCGTTGGCCACACCGAGTGTCTGCTTTGCATTGTGAAATTAACTTAAAAGATGGATTCTTTTATGAGAAAGACATTGAAATAGTAGTTAACGTTAGATTGGTTTCCCCAACTCTGTAAAACACAAGTAGCAAACTGAAACATAATCTGGAATTACTAATACTATGGATTCCTCATTCATTTCCAACTGCCTGATGGCAAAAATAAAAAATTAAAATTAAAATTAAAAACCCCCCGAACTCAAAATATGATCTCACTTTTAAGTACCCCACACACACACACTGTCATTGAGTTACAGTGGTGTTCTCATCTTTTCCCACCCTGTCCCTACTTCTTCCTGTCCACTCTCTTCTCCATCTGGATGAAAGTGGGACCCCTAACTTTCCTCAGCTTTCTAACATGTATGCAAACAGAAGTTTGGAGTCACAAAAAACATTGTGCATGAGGTCCAAACAAAGCTGCTGTGGTAAACACATGTGCTGTTCCCCCAAACTTCAAACATTTGGGTTTCAGGTTGTCCAGGCAACAAATAGAGATCCTTAATACTGAATGTCTTGATGAGAATAACAATGCTAGAAACTTGGCCAAAAATGCCTTCCTGCCAGAGTCTATGCTAAATAAGAAATCTGTGCTATAATAAAACAGAAGTGAGTTGCATTTTACTGTCATATCAAAGTAATGTGCATTTTTTTTTACAAAGAAAACTCTCAAGATTTGACACCAGGAGAGTTCATACTTTGCATTGTTTTTAGTAAGAGTTCAACTTAATTCAAGTAAGTCAAAAATTTTTGAGTACTATCTGTTAGGCATTAGGAGAGGTGCTGAGGCTGTGGGGATGAATACAGTGTGTTTTTGGATCTCTGAAGCTTAGGTTGAATTCATTCATCCACACTCTTGCACTGGTCCTCCTTAGCAAGGTGCCTATTTGTAAGTGCTGCTCCCTTGGGCTTGGGAGGCTTGTGGCTTTGAGCCTGGCTGAGTTTATAGAAGGAAAGGAGCCAAAACCTTAGCCAGAGGCAAGATGTCTAATCCTGCCTTTGCAAATCTTAAGAGTTCATCCTATCTTGGGCATGGGGTCAGTACTATTAATAACTCAATTATAAGGAATATGTTTTTGAAAGGTCATCAGGATCTGTGTTCCAGGAACATCCCTTCATGTGAATCAGAAAGTCCCTTTTGAGTCACCCCCATCCCTAGCCCTGAGGTGCTGCTTCTGCCTCCATACACATGAACTCCAGCAATTAAAGGGCAATGAAGGGGAGATGGGAGTCAGGAAAAGTGTCAGTTGGAACAATGTTTACACCATTCTGGACACGATTTCCACACCTTTCCCTTTCATTCCACATAAGTAAAAACACCGAAACTTTGAACTCAATCAGCACAATCTTCTAAGTATTTTTTTAATTTTTAATTAACACAGTAATTATATATATTTATGGGGTGTAATGTGACATTTCAATATGTGCATACAAGGTGTAATGATCAAATCAGGGTAATTGACATATCCATCACTTCAAACATTTAATCTTTTTTTGTGTGTGGGGAATAATAAAAATCCTCTTTACTGGCTTTTTTGAAATATCTAGGTAATTGTTGCCAACCATAGTTATCCTACTGTGCCATAAAACATTGGAAGCTATTCCTCCTATCCAACTGTACCCCTGGACCCATTGACCATCCTCTCTCCCTTCACCATACCATTTCCCAGGTTCTGGAAACCACTATTCTATTCTCTACTTCTTTGAGATCAACTTTTTAGCTTCCACATAAAATATGAAACATGTTATTTACCTTTCTGTGCCTGACTTACTTCACTTAATCCATATTGTTCATCCATATTGCTGCAAATGACAGAATCTCATTTCTTTTATGGCTGAATAGGATTCTGTGATGTATACATACTGCATTTTCCCCCATTCACTTGTCAATGGACACCTAGGTTGATTCCATATCTTGGCTATTGTGAATAATGTTGCATTAAACATGCAAGTGCAGATGTTTCTTTGACATTACCAAATTTAATTCCTGTATATACCCAGTAGCGGGATGGCTGGATTGTATGGTAATTCTATTTCTAGTTTTTTGAGGAACCTCCGTACTGTTTCCTATCATGGCTCTACTAATTTACATTCCCGCCAATAGTGTGTAAGAGCCACCCACCCTGCTCCACATCCTATAGTACTGGCTATTTTTTGTCTTTTTGAAAATAGCCATTCTAACTGGATTTAGGTGATATTGTGGTTTTGATTGGCATCTCTGATGATTAGCGATGTTGATCATTTTTCAGGTACTTGTTGGCCATTTGTATGTCTTCTCTTAAGATATATCTAAGCAGGTCATTTGCCCATTTTTAATTGGATTATTTATTTTTGTGCCGAAGAGTTGTCTGAGTTCCTTATATATTCTTCAGCCAATGTAATTTTGAGAGAATTCAGTTGCTCTGAACTTGGGAGAACCATCCAGGGTCCATCCACGTCCACTCTTCCATTTCTCTACTTTGTCTGGGCTCTGTCTAGGAGGACAACACAGTTTCTGTTTGTACAGTTTTGAAAACTCACCTGGTGCTGACTCAGCTTTAAGATATCTCTGCTGTTACCTGTTTTCTTGGATCTCTGATCAGCAGGGTGGTAAGCTTTCTAGCTACAATGCAAACTCTTTTGCCTGATTAAATCTGGCAAGGTGAAAGGGGTGTATTATTTTAGAGTCTGGCTCCTTCCTTCTTCCTTTCTTCCTTCCTTCCTTTCTCTCCTTCTCACCCACTCCCCATTTAAGTAAGCTGGCTGAGAACTCTGTGTCCTCCACTTCAAAGGGCCAGTTGTCTTATTTTGATGTGGGCAGATTGAGAAGTAGGCTTTGAAAAGTAGGCCTTTTTTTTGTTTAATCTTTTCTCCTGGGATAGCTTTCAGAGCAATATATCCAAGTGTCAGTGAGGGGGTTCTGACGAGCCCGGATTCCCAGACGCTCAGCGGGATCATTCTCTAACAGAAATATAAAAGTGAAATATTAAAAACCCTGGAACGTGAACTCCATCTGCAGAGTAGCCGGTGTCTTGCCTGCTTGCACCATGGGAAAAAAAAAGATCTTGAAAAAAGAGGGAGGAGAAAAAAAAGTGCTTTGAGTACGAGGTTTACAGGTTTAGTAGAGCATAGTAACATCCCCTCAAAGAAGTGGGTGTTGCTCTTGACCCCCCAAAATGCTCCTCCTTTGACTCAGCCGCCAGAACACCCCCCCTCCCCCACAACACACCCCCTTTTCACATGCTAACTGAGTGCCCGTGATTGGCTGAACAATAAACTGGTCACACTTGCTAAAGGGCTGCCATCTTTCACACAATTAGTCAAGACACATTAATCAAACTGGCGGTGGAACTGGGGCTGTGCTGGCCTCCTGCAGTGGGGGAAGGGAGAAATTTTGGTGATCCTGCCTAAGAGACCCTGGGTAGCAAAGATAAAGGCATGAACGCTGGAGGGGATTCTACTCTCAGAGAATTAGAAAAAGTTAAAGGCCCAGTTGATGCCTTATCTGGGATTGGTTGGTTTGTGGCTCAGAAGATCCCAGAAGCTTAGAGCAAACTGGATATTCATGTTGGCTAAAATCTGTTCATATAGTGGTATGGATTTGAACAGTGAACCCCTCTAAACAACTCTGCAAACTTCCTTCAACCATCTTAGCTTCCCTTTCCGCACCCACTCAGGTCACACCCGCCTTGAGCCTAGAGCACGAGACAGAGGACATGCCAATCCAACAGCAGAGGTTTCACTATTGTAGGGACAAACAGGAATAAAACAGCCAGCCATTTAGAACCAGTTAACACAAGGCATCAACTGGGAAGTTGTTGGTCCTAAACTCAGTATTTGAAAGACATTGAAAATAGCCAGTTCTGAGAGAAAAAGTTCAAACGTTTGTACTTTTCATCATGATATTTTCTGGTTTTTCTTTCCCAAGTCCCCATTTAATAGGTTTTCTGTTGGCCATAAGGACCTGATAAGATCATACCTTAGAGACCCATTTGCTACAGAATCATGTAGGGCTTTTCAGAGGATCAACTAAATATTTGGACACATCTCAGCTCAAGTAAATGGAGGCCTCCCTCCTCCAGGGGCTGCCCAGTCCACCCACTACCTCATTAGATGCAAAGATCCTGTGATAAAGAGAAACTTTTTTTCTGCCCACATGATTGCAGCCCAGTTGTGGTTTTTAATGTGTCGTTGATTGTTTCATCCAACTCCTTTTGCTCCCCTGAAAGGGTCTGTCGTGGCTCTGTTTGCTTCCTTAAACACGGTTTTTGAAAGCGCTCACGCTGTGTGAGCTCAAATCCTAGCATTAATGCACTGCTGAGTTCATTTCACCACACTCAAAAGCGCTGAGTTTAAATCCCTCTCAATTCCATTTGAGGCACCAGAAGACTTTATCCTCCTCCACTAATGGTTCCAAGTTTACGTCTAGATACTAGGGTTCAAGGACAGGAGAGGATTTAGAAATAACAGCCCCTGATATTAGTCAATGCATTTGCCAAATTGGCAATTAGTTCCTGATGTGCGTGCAAAGCATTTTACTCCTGTCTCTTTGATGCCTGTTCCCATAGAGAAGGGAACAGAGTCCACCGAGGCCTTCCAACTTTTAAAGCAATATCTGCTGAAAATCATGCCTGATTTGTGACATGAACTCCGCCACAGGGAAGCATCCGGGATTAGCCCAGTTCTTTCAGTCCCAGGAAAGAACGCCTCACACGGGAAGTTTTTCCACTGGAGGAACTTAGTGGAAATCAAAAGGCAGAAAAGCAGTACAAAAAACCCCACAGGGACCAGAATCAGATGCACTCTAAGTGATAGGCCCATGGCCAGGGATAGGCAGCAATGCCCAGTTGTTTTTTGGTATGCTTGCTTTTTCAACTTTTGACCACCAGGTGGAAGCAAGAAATAACCAGGGTGGAATGAGCCCTGACAGAGCAA